AAGAACCAGTTCAGCCGTCTTTCTCTTTCTTGAGGGGTAATAAAACCAGTTTAAAGATATATGTACTCCACATTACAAATGTCCAACTCATTTCCATAATTAATTATCATTTTTTCTCGGCCAGAGTAAAATTAAATTACGACGACCACGTGCCAGCATCCATCATGTGAGCTGTCAGCACAGCTTAATCGCACTATATCTGAGTCACATCACCTCAAACTAAAGCTATAGATACATTTTCCTTTGTCTTTTTGTGTCCACTGCATCTTGCAGTTGCGTCCTCTCTCTTTCCAAAGTCTGTCTTTCGCCATTTGTGTTAAGGGGTTAAAATCATTTGACATCTTGTGCATTGTAATTACACTTAACATAGCTCTCATAGTGCAATGACTGCGGCCGAGACTCGGAGTTTAATTCAATTAATCCCCAGAGTGACACTAATCGAATCGATTATACCCATTTTATATTCCAGCCAGACGTAAGTTTGTTCGGGTCGAGAAAGGTAAACGATGTCAAGGGGTTTAAATATTATGATTAGAAGGGGACATGCATTAACAATTCAAATCGTTGTGTTTTTATAATTTAATTATGCAAATATTTATAGATATTTCTTAGTATTTTTAAGCTTATTAAAATAACTTCCTAAGCTTTTTAAGTTATAATATTTTACCCAGATCAAAATGTACTTTAATTGTACAAATTTCTCTTACAAACTTACAAGATTTCTTAAGTATTTCCTAATATTTTTCATGTTAATCTTTTCCTCTGATATATTTTTACACAACAATATTTTTCTCAACTCTGTCCCGAAAATATTTATCCGTGATTTATTAAACTCTCTTGGCTGCATTTATTTATAGCACGAATTCTCGCTCTGTTATCTTAAAGATCTACTTCTCTCGCCCCTGCTGCAGTGCTTTAATTAATTCTCCGCCATTCGCAACCCACATGCACATACATAAACATGCACATATATATAAATAAATATATATATGTAGTCTTAGCAATCGATTCCATTCCATTTGGTTCCCATTTGCTGCCTGCATTGTTAATTTAATGCTCGAAGGCAATTGGACTTGAGTTCCAAGCAGCAAGCACGCCCGTTTTAGAACTGATTTAATTGCAATTGTGCGGCCAGCAGCAGCGGACATGCAATTGTTATCAACAAAAATAAAAATAAAAACACACCCTCGGGGACAAACGGAAAATGCGGGCTAATCCACACCCAAGCTTAATTAACAAGTGTAATTGATAGAGCTTCGCCAGGAATTAGGGTTACTCCCCCCTGCACTCCCCCCCTATTTTATTAATCACTCCAATTGCACGAAAGCATCTCAGACAGATGTCAATAAAAACCGCAGACATGACACACATTCTTCGACATGGAAAATGGGGAAAAATAAATGCGTGACAAGTGAAAATGTTGCGTTTCTTGGCGGCACCCCAGAGGAAAACACTTTATCCATGTTTATTTTTAATAACAACAGGAACAGTTTATATTTTTTTTTCTCAAGAGTCACGGCAATTTATTGGTGCACTGAAAATAATGATAATTAATTTGCATAGGGAAATAAAAAGAAAAAGAAATAAATACAAATAGGGAATATTAAATATTTTTATAGATATTTTCAGTAAAGAATTACATGTTTTAGTACTTCAACCTTTAAGGATTTTTCACCCCCTAAATCTCAATCTGATCAATATTATTTCTTACATTTTTACAAAAGTATATGATTTCTTTCTGTGTAATTTTTTAGAGAAAGACAAGCTGCAGATAGAGAACAAGAGAGAGGGACTAATTTTTAAGCGTCTGACATTTATTTTGCATGACATTTCACACACGCACACACATATACCTTAAAATATGGGCACTTGGGTGTTGCACCTCGTTATCCAGGGGAATTGTCTCCACTGAGAACGATTTTGGGATCTTTTTATACCCCTTAAACCATGGGTATTTTAATTTTTAAGTCTTGGTAAATATAATAATATTAGAATAATTATTTTAGTAATGTGTTCACATTTATTAAATTTTTGTTTTATCAATTTTAATAGATATTTGTTCATCGTTTTGTTTAATCGTTTTTTATTAAGAACTTTAAAAAGTTGTTTAGTTTAAAAAAAATTATATTTGCAAATATATTTTACAGAGTTTTCTTGGAAATATATTCTCCAAGGGTATTTCCACAGTCGGTATCTCTAGTCTCCTGCTTGCTTCTCTTCCCTTTGTCTGCTACTTTTCGTTGATGCTTTTATTTTGGTCCCCAAATATTAAGCAATTTAAGTTAAACACAATGTTTGTTCTTATTTGGCGCACTCTCCTCCGTTTAGCGGCTCTCTCTCTTCGTTCTCTCCCGCTTTTCTCAATATTTTGGGTCGCTTTTCGAGACAAACTGAGAGGGTTGTATTTGTTGTTGTGTCTGCTCCCACGGCGGCTACAAAATTTCTGTGGCTCTATTCGAAATCAGTTCGAAAATTGCCGGCGGTCAGCACATTTACTTTGAACAACCGCGGCATTTGTTGAAAAATTCTCCCAGAAAAATATCGGCACATGTTTTATTTGAACATATTTCCTACATCTCGTGCGTTCGTGTGTGTGTCTGTGTGTTTGTTAATGAAAAAATAGTAAATAATATAGTACCAGAAAATTGGCATATGCTTTTGACATGACTGGGAAATATTACTGACCCAATCAAAGTATTTATAGAATGATTGATGAGCAAGGCTGTGCGACTTGGGAGAGTCTTTTATAAATCTGAGAGAGTGAATAAAATAAAACAGAAATTTAATGATAAATAAAGGTTTTAAAAATATATAATACAGAGTTTATCTTATGCAAAGAAAGTGATTATAAATAAAATCAAAGTGTTTTAATTCATAAAAGTTTACCAAGCTCGTGGAAAATGTATACGATTTTAAAATAAAACGAAAGTTAAAGGCACAAAATAAAGATAAATAATAATGAATAAAACAATTAATCAACTAATTCTTAAACAAAACCAGTAAATGAGTTTCTAATCAATAAACCATTAACTTTATATCCCAACACAAGTTCCCTCTCCCTTTATGGAAATGAAATGTCAGTGTTGCTCCCCTTTCTTGCTCTGATTTCTCTTATGGGGAAATCCTTCTTCCTCTGCCTTGATATTGGCGCCCATTTAGCAATCATAAAAAACACATATTTCAAGTTCACCTCTCCGGATGTGTTCCCCCCATTTCGCTCGTTAGCCATTAATCAAGTTTCATTGCGCCAATAAGAAATTCTATGCGGTAAACAGGAAAATAATTGCAACAATAAAATAAATATAAACACGACTGCAACCCGAATCCGTTGTAATCTTCATATCCGGCTTGTTGCCGTCTGCAAATTCTGCAGATGTACAAACTTCCATATTCCCCCTCAGGGATCACTTTTTGCATCATCATTATAATGGAGACTCTTTTAAAAGAGCTGCGTGTGCCCTCTGATGGGGAGTTGCCCGGAGGGATATATACATACGTATTTATTTACTTTATAACCCAGGGGAAGTGCGGGTTAAAGGGGAAAGTCACTTCTACTTACGTGTTTGACATTTTAATTGCATTGTTGATGGATTCAACTGTTGACACTTTCGTTTTTCGCCCCATGAATCTTTAATGAACATTTAAGTTGCAAATTTTCCAGCCTGTGGGTTTAAAGGGGTTAATAGGGTTTTGAAAGGGAAAATATTGCAAAATGTACAGAAAATTTGTTTAAATAAAAAGAAAAAAGTTAACAATATTTAAAAGATATGAGAGAATAGAATGACATTTTAAATTGTACCACAAAACTAACAAAACAAACAAATTCAAATAAAAAAAAAATATTTTATCATAGGAACTCTTTCAAGAAAAATGTTTTCCTACATGAAGCTATTTTGTTCTTTCACTTAGATTCTTTTCTATAATTTTCCCATTATCCAAACTAATAATTACTACTGGAAAATGACCTCAAAATGTTCCCACTGATTTTCATTGTTCCAGCTTTAAGAAAATTGTCAGTGAAGGGAAGAGACCAAGTTATAAATATCTTAACTAGACCAAATGTGACCGTCTTCCGTTCAACACCTCATTAAGGCGACTTTCCGGGCTGAGGCCGAAAACGACTTTTAATTGTGCCCACTGGACATACACAACGGCTCCTTACCGACATCCCCTCTCCCTATCCCCTCGGTCTGCCTCTGTTTTTCCACGATATGTCCGGAGGGTGAACATGATAAATGCTCTGGCCTGTCTAATGTTCTCCTGCCACTACAATATTTAAGCCACAGCCACAGTCAAGCTCGAGTGGAGCAATTAAGTGCCAGACACTCTAAAATTGTCGTTTAACATTTGTCAGGGGAAAATAAAATACAAGAAAAATTAAATAAAACAACAAGTTGCGAGCACTAATTAAATAATTGAAACAATTCTACGTGGGAGCCGCGATGACAAAGAACTAAATTTGTGCAAAAGATAAATATAAAACTAAAAGGAAAAAAGCTAAAAAAACGACTGTGAGATGTCACAATTCGATAATACCTGCTATACGGTGCCCGAGGGTTCCACGGATGACGATGACGGCGTGGATGACCTGGGCAGTAATGCTACTTTGGAAAACAAGGATCACTCTGACTGCACACTGGATTCGGATGCGACAACCACGACTTCCTCCTTAGAGCGTCACATATATAGAAATCAATTTCGGTGCAGCAGAAGCTACGGTCCCCAGAGGGTCTCCATGCCTCTGCTGAGATCCAGTCGATCCAGGGAGATGACCCCGCAGCTGGGAATGTACCATGACGGACCAGATCGAGATCCGCAATGGGGTTACTTTGTGCCCCTTTCGCCCAACTGTTTCTTTAGTCCGCCCATGCAGAGGCGGCGGTATAGGTGCGATGATAAATAGATAATAATTTACAGTTTAAGATTATATAACACTTTTTAAAATTTTAATATTTTTAAATGCATATTTAATAATTGCTTAATTTTTCTTATTCTTCCAGGGAAAAAGAAAACGATCGCAATCGTCGTGCGGTTAGCTATGGCGGCGACATTGCCTCCTCGCCCCAATCGGCCACCATGCCACGTGCAGCTCCGCGTCGCGTGGCCTTGATGAAGGAGCCACCACCACCACCGCCACCCAAGCCGCAGCTGACATCCAAATCCTCCGCGGACTCCATGTCCTGTTTGGCCAGTAAATATCCGCAATCTGAGTACAATCTCATCCAGAAGATTGACTCAAACAGCACACTGACAGCTCCGGCACAATATCAGCCACAGAACTTTTACGCAAACACTGGCACCATTTCCTCTACGAATGGCTACGGGTCGTTGCTGTGCCACACAAGCTCCACGGCCAGTCCGTTGGCTGTTCGCAAGCGGGACAAGCTGCTCCATCGGTTCAGCGATGCCGCCACTTTGGGCAGGAAGCTCAAGAAAAAGAAGAACACGAACCGCACCTGCAGATCCATGACAGAGGCCATTGAGATGCTGGCCGATCCGGTGATCGAGGATGAGTTTTTTGTAAGTACTTATACTATTTATTTTGAGATTATATTGGGTATCTTAAGATTAGGTACTTTCTTGAAATTAAGGGTTTATAAAGAGATATTCTTGTCTAAAAATATGAAGAGCTTAACAAGTTGAAAGATTTATAATCTTATCTTAACTAGGAACCCATATAAATATCATTTTAAAGGCTATTTTGATATTACTTATTGAATACAATTCAAAATATTAAAGAAATGAATGGCTAAAGTATCTGTTTTGAGCTAAAGTTGTTGTTAATTACTAAGAAACCTTTTCCTTTGATGGTTTCCTCTACTCATCATCCCCTCCCACAATTTCCCATTTTAAGGGGTGTATTTGTTTGGCTTAGGCCCCGCGTCCGACCTTTTCCCCTAAAACCCCCATTTCGTCTTGTTTTCCAACGACTCTGCTCACACTCACAGTGAGCTTTATCGCAATCGCTTTTGTTCTTGTATTCCTCTGCAGCTGGAAGTGTGTTATCCATTGGAAAAAAATACTCGTGTCTGCTTGATAGGCTCTTCAAATTCATTGAATTTATTTCAGTTTAGTTTGCCTCTGTGGCTCAACGCGTTTCGAACGAAAAGTCCCACCAAAAAATAACCGATATTCGTAGGCGGAAGTGTAAGAGAGACAAATCTTTATAAAGATAAGGTGGAGTGAATAGGAAGTTGACAGCTTGAAATGGAGAAGGGCTTTTGGATCGAGTGGAGTGTTTTGGGAGTGTTATTTGAGAGCTGGAAAAGTTTAATATGCTAATGAAGAAAACAAGGGGATTGGAGTTAATGGAATCAACACTCTTTTTGAGGCATTTATCTGCAACGATATTAAACAGATTTTTTATAGTAATTTTTCATAAAATTCACATCAACTTTCAAGATTTTAAGTAAATAATTTAACAATTTCTAGAGTAACAGAAGTAAATCTCTAAAGATTTTAAATACTACTATTTTACATCTATTTCTTACAATCCTGAAAGATAAAATCCATAATCTAATGATTCCCTCTTCTTAACCTCTCAAAATCCAATTGCTGCCATTATCTAACCCCTTTCAACTAACCTTGAATAAGTTGGTATCCAAGCTGAACTCAATTCGGAAAACAAAAAGAGCATAATATCCAACAAAAAGGGGCGTCAATCCCACTACAGTTCATTACACTGAACATTCATTGACCCAATCGTGGTGCCTCGAAAATTGCAAACCGAATTGGACTTGGTATTGGGGTCAGCGGCGAACAGAAGACCGATCTAAGCCACAATTATTTGCCAAATCAGGCATTAATTAACCAACTCAGAGTTGACAGATTAGCATAGAATTTCGGTTTGAGCCCTTCTTTTGCTTCTCCTACTGCCAATCCCCGCCGCCTAACCAGTCTCATATGACAGTTCAGTGTTCAGGAAGACGACGAATGTGTCTAACAAAACAAGTGACTCGAAAACTGTGTCAATACTTTGGGTTCGGAAAACAATTTACCTCGAAAGGTGAACTGTGGAGGCAACGCGAACCCGTCCGGCTAATTGGATTTACCGTGCGTGTGCCTTCCAGCAAACAAGGGAAAAGGTTGTTGCAATAAAATCAAACAATTGCAGTGGAAAATCGAACGTGCAGTGTGCCGAACGTGCTGTGTTGGTCGCGTCAAAAAAATAACATAAATCGAACAATTTTTCAAACTTTTTAGTGAGATTTTTTGTATAAAGTATGGCATCTTTCGGGCGCTTTATATAAATATAGTTGCCTACTTTTGTGCTTGATGACTTATGCAGCTTGAGCAATACGAGCTGCATAAAACAGTTGCATACTTTTAGATGGCTCAGTAACTCTTTTACATGGGACTATAATTTATTAAATCAAGTTTATTCAGAAAATAATCATACATAAACTAAGTTGCAAATATAAAAAAACTTATTTTTTTCAATTGTTTCAATTACGTCTCCTGTAGAAGTTGTGTAAAGTCCATGTCAAAAATTTTTCGTTTTAAGTGATTTTTTAAAATAAAAACTAAAAATAAAAAAAGTTTATTGCAAAAAATAAAAAATATAATAAAAGTAAAAAAAGAAAAAAAGTTACCCTTCGACCGTGACAGGACTCGAACCTGCAATCTTCGGATCCGAAGTCCGACGCCTTATCCATTAGGCCACACGGTCGTTGTGAAGTGCTGCGCTTAAACTCGAGCTAAGCTGCGTAACTTATGAACCGAGTCACCGCACAGGGTGGATTACGCGAATCTCACTGAAGCAAAAACGAAAACAACAAAAAATATTTATTATCAACAGGGTGTGACGGAACTCAAGCGATTAATAAATTACAAATATGAAGCCCAGCACAGGTCGACGCCGCAGCTTTAAAAACAAGCCGCCCAAAGCGAATGTGTACAATCCGTTGGTGCGCTATCGCCCTGCGGCCTATGTGCGGAATGGCATTATTGGTGGCGGCGATGGACCCGGGTCCAGTGGCCTGTACCAGATCAACGACAAGGTCTACACCACCAGCAAGATGTTTCTTCGCGACGGATTCATGTATCCCCGCCAGCCTGGCCAGCCCATGGATCCCCGGTATCCGCTCGAGCTGCACGAGTTCCCTCAGCAATTCGGAGCCACCGGTCTGCAATTGGTCAGCACACCCAAGGTACATATTGCCGGTGAATATTTGGCCAATGACCAGTTGCAGCAGCAGCAACAACAGCAACAGGTGCAGGAGCACCAACAATTGGGCAGAAGAAAGGCCGCCACCGCTGCCGCCGCTGCCGAAATCAATTTGGCCAATCAGGTTTATTGGCTGGGCAAGCAAAAGTCCAGATCCCGATCCCGCAGCAATAGTTTGGGCAACAAGAGCATCACCAGCTGCATGGGTGGCGGCGGCAGTAATGGCGACAGAGATCGGGAAAGAAATCAGGATCGTCCCTATATACGCAATGTGGATGATCTGCTCCAGGCGCTGGGCAAAAGGGATGGCGGCGGAGAAAACGGTAGCAATATGCTTGAAACCGCCTCCACACATTCCTCAACCCAAAGAAGACGCTTCAAAAAGGTGAGAGTCTGATTGATGAGAAGAGAAATATATATCATAAAATGTGTAGGCTTGAAGAGAATATTTTGAAATTTATTTAAAATAAAATATTGGCAAAAAATGTATTTATTAACGACCGTGACAGGATTCGAACCAGCAATCTTCGGATCCGAAGTCCGACGCCTTATCCATTAGGCCACACGGTCAGTTATATAAATAGAAAAATATATACCCAGTACATGTAGAATATATTTTTTTATGAACCTTTTTTATTAAGTCTAATAATATGATTTTATACTGATAAAAGAAGCTTTAAATTCCGTTTTAAATTAAAACAAATTCAAATAAGTTTATAATGTTTGCGAGGCTTATTTTCTAGACAATTTACATGTTTTTCCGTTAAATTATTTCGAAATTCTCCACCCAAATTGGATACATCCAACCCAACAATCAATCATCGCATTGCATGGCTATTGAGCAACTCGGAAATTTGTCAACCAGCACAGCACCGCGGCATTGCAACACTTTCAATTGTTGCTGCGACACCTTTTTCTCTTTCGGCCACCTTAATTACGCCTGTGGCCACTGGCCATATGACTGGGACTCGTTCCGCCAGGTCATCATCACTCATCGCGCAGTGTCCAGAATCGAGGCAGCGAAGCCTACCGCCCCTGGGGTGCGTCTGCGCAAAAATTAAAATTAATGATGTTCAAAATGTTGCTTGAGGGTTTAAATGGAAATGAAGGCAAAGTGGGATGAAGAAATAAAAAGTGGTGAGGGAGCAGGTGGGCAGGAGGAGGAGCTGGGCAGCCGGTAGCTGCTAATTTGGCATCCTCGAACACACCTGCCCTGAAAGATATTCCGTCCTCCTGCTTTTTCAATCTCTGAATAAGCCCCAAAAGTCAAAGCTTTGATGTGGTTCCTTTTACTGCGTTTAGAGCCTTTTTCTTACTCCTTTAGAACTTATTTTATGCATTTTTAACCCGCAGTGCTGCTCAGGCTTCCATGACGATTTAGTCTTTTTCTCGGTTTTATTTTTTCTTTTGTCTTTTCTGGTTCGTTTTCGCCATCGTCATTAGTGGATATATATATAGTTTTTTTTTGCTTAATTCTTTCTTCGCTTGGGGCACAATTTATGCGCTTCTGTTTCGGATTCAGATTCAGATTCGGACTCTGAGGAGCACTTGAGTTTGAGAAATTGGTTTCGTTGATTGTGCCTTTTGGACGTGGGCAAAACCGTGGTCTAAAATATATTTATTAAACCTATTAATATCTCGAAATACCCCAATTGTGAACAAAAGTTGAAACAGGAAGTTCAATTTAAGCTTGGGAATTTCGTTTTCCCAATTCACTTACCTGTCCAAAATTTACTATAAATATGAGAAAATTCAATATAAAATGGGATCAGAATTCAAAGACCAATCAACCCCTACCCACTGTAAATTCAACTCCTTCCCTGACTCAACTTCCGCCGTGTGTATAAATCCATTTAGAGCTCGAGCTCGTTTCGCATCAACTGAAATGAAATGAAATAAATTGGAAGTGGAAACCCAAGCAAAATGGGCATAAATTTATCTCTTTAAATTCTAGCTTCAGAACGCCGAAAGGGTTAAGGAATTTAAGCCAACAAAATGCTGGGTAAAATGTATGCAGTGTGTGACTTCCATATGCAGGGAAGCAAACAGCAAAAAGTAAAAACAATTGCAATGCAGCCCGAGTCCGATTGGGGACTTCCCCTTCGTTGCAGTTGCTCGTAAATCGAATAAAGCTCTTTACCCCCTTGTGGTTGCTTTTTTGAGGTTCCGCTGGGGAACTGACGAAAGTTGGGGCCCACAACTTTGTTAACAACATTTTACAGATTTTCTTCTGCCGTCAGTTTCTGCTTTAGTTTCGTAGTCCATGACAGTCACGTGCCAAGATATTTTTGTAAGCGAATTGCTGCAGCTTATTGAAAATGCAAGGAAGAGTAAACTCAATCAAGACACAATGAAAAAATGCTGGTGTGTGAGCTCTTAATTAAGTTTGGAAGCTCTTACATGTTTTTCTTTTAAGGCTTAATAAAAATATACAAAAATAAAACGTAAAGGATTTATATAACGTTTTATATTTGGTAAAATGATAAGAGCTCAAAGAAAACATTATTCTTCAAGGAACTAAAAAGTCTTAAAAAATATTTTTTTAAATCTAAAAACTATTTATAACCCTTGGGCCTACATAATTGCACAATCTCCGTTGATACTCTGCCTGCAGCCAAGTCAAATTGCAAACTTTTGGCCACAAATTACAGGCCATGAAACTTTATGCATGCAGTGGCAGTGCAGCTCGCTCCCGAGTGCAAATCAAATTATCCAATTGCGAGACTCTATATATATATAAAAAAGATATAACTTGTAATGGCCAGGTGGCGTTGTCCCCTCGACTTTGGGGTTTTCGTAAGACGCCGCGGAACAATAATTGTGTCAAAAACTAAAAAGAGAAAAACGACCAAAACAACACAAACAAAAAAAAAATTAAAAAGACACGCCGACAATTTGAAATGTTGCACGTGCTCAAACGCTCAGCGAAAATAAAAGTAAGGAAAAAGAGATATAAAGTAATTGCCGGGCATTAAGTTTTCGGGTAATTGCTTCACATAAGCCAGGTCATTAACGAGTCCCAGTCCGCCAGATAGAAATCATCGCCCAAAAAAAAAACTATTGCCCCTGCAAGCTGTGCAAGTTAATTGAATTCGGAAAATAAAATAGAAACAACTCAACTGGATTTACGTTATCTGGCAGAACTAGCCAAGTATTTAATTGAAATTCTTTCACCAACTTTCGAGTGGCTTTGCTTTTCTTTTAATTAAATCTCTACTTGACCTGGGTTAATATTAAACTGTTTGACTCTTGGGTTTGGTTTTCAAAAATGAGTTTGAAATGGGTTTATATTTCCTTGTCATCCTACTAGACTTTTTGTCTAATCATTCAGTCACTCGAAAAAACTATAAACCTATTTGCTACGATTATTTTGGGTCTAAGCCATTGTCTTCGATGAGGTACTTTTTTGATTATTCTTCTTCGGCAAACAATGATTTAACAATAATGTAAGAAATAAATATAATAAATGGCTTGTGAATAAAAAAATAAATAGAGTTTAAAAATAATTTAAATAATTTTATAAACATTGAATTTTTACATCTTTTTACCTTACCGACAAATTAAAGAAAGAATTTATTGGAACCTTTTCCAGAGTATAACAAATATATATTTATTTTTTAACTTTTTCAAACCCAATAATCGATTAATTTGTACTTTAGAATATAAATTCCTTTGCGTATAATTCAAGAATGTTAAAGCTTACTTGCAAAAAAAGACATATACTTATTTTTAAAGCCATAGCACCGGTGACTAACTCATTGCATTTTCATTACACTTCACCAATCCATCCTTCCTTCCTTCCGACCATCTGTTGTGCTCCTTTTTTGTGCCTCCCTTTGGCTCATTTTTGCACTCATTGCGAATTCACAGCAGCTCTGGCAGCAGCAACAACAACCAACATTCCTATAAATACCAACTTCACACTGAATGCAACAAAAACTTGTGCCAAGTTTTTCCTTTATCTTTGATTGCAAACTTGAATAGCAACAACAAGTAGGGAGTGAGGACTCCTTTTGCAAAAAAAAAGAGAACAAAAGGGTGAAAGACAGAGATCCTACAAAAGTGAGAGAGAGACGAGAAGAAGAGCACTCCTTGCTTAACCCCTTAAAGCCTCAATTTTACTAAGAATCCTCTTGATGGATTTATAAATTTTATAAACCAGTTACCTCATCACTTGATCTAAAAATACAGAAGGTTCTATAACTCAATTTCTAAAATAAATTTCCATTTAACCCATTAACTCTTAACCCTTATGCCTCTTTTAATTTTCATGCCAAAAAGTCGTGCCTTAAAAGTGTTAACTCAAGGAGCTTCAAATGCTTCAAAAAAGCGATAGTTGGAAACCCGTTGCCAGTGCTGCCCATTGGGGCTCTGATTTTGTAGCTTTGTCGCCTCCGCTTTGAGTGAATCGCAACTCTACACACACTCCCCCACACACACTCGTACACCTGGCCACCACTCACACACACAGGTACACCTCGGGTAGTGTTTTGTGTCCAACTAAAAGGTCCAAACCGGGTTGCCAGCGAAAAGTTGCCCGGCAACATTTTTCGCTCATGTTGCCAGCAACAAGTTTACGCTCTGTCATTTACCTGGCCACAGGTATGCATGCTCTGCCAGCGTACGTGTGTGTGTGCGTGCGTTGCTTACCTGTGTTCCCTACGTGTGCCCAAGTGTGTGTGAGTGGGCATTTTTGAGCATATTTCGAGACGTGAACGTTTTCCACGTATGTACGTCGGTCGGCTTTTGCTTTCTTGAGTTTATTTCAAAAGTGGCCAACGCTTGCTGGCGAGTGGACGCGATTAACGGACGAAAGACTTGTGCTCAGCTCGCGCCGATTTCTTCGATAGTTTTTTATTCATTTTCAAATCGAACTCGCGCCTTCGCCGCCCCTCTGTTTCCCTCCGTGCCACTCGTGCTCGTGTTCGTTTTCGTTGGGGGCGCCTGTACTTTTTTCCTCGCCAGATTTTCGTTTGTCACGCGCGCAACTCGCGCGACTGCAATTAATTAACCACAAAAAAACACACATCGATAAATAAATTATACAAAAATAAGAGTCACTAAGCAACAACGACAAAGAAATCCCTAAACAAAAATGTGATTCCCTTGTCCATTACCTGTGTCCAGTAAAATGCTTTAGCCAAGTGTGCCTGAAACCAGTTTTTATTTTTCGCCAAAGAGGTGAAAATCTTGCATTTACATTTCTGCCAACCAGATTTTAAACGTGCAACATGTGGCAATAGCCACCAAACGCCAACAGCCGCCATAACCTCCTCGAAGAAACGCACAATAAAGCAAATCGCTGCCAAATTCGCAAGCACTTGGCGATATGGATATAGTCAGTGGATCGGCAACGGGCAACCAGCACGTCCTGCCAAACAATCACTTTCGACATGAGTCATTCCAGCAACAGGTAAAGCCACAAAGATTCCAAGGAACTCGATTGTAAAGTATACAGGATGGGTTATTGGCAGTTAAAGAGAGAGAAGATGCTGTAAAATATTTTTGAGGAAGTTTATAATGTGTGCCTAAGGGTATTCATTTTCTGAGATTTTACTTAATTTATTAATAGTTTTTTATTGATATTTATATCTTGCTGGTTTTCCCCTTGATAGTTTTGTGTCATCTTGCCCTTAGGCCAGTTTGATTTGCATAATTAGCTGTCATCATTAGCAGAAAGCAAGACCGTTTAAACATTTTTGTTGTATTTATTATACTGAACTTGGTCTCTTTTTATCTCAATTTTTTGTGTTGTCCTCTCATTAGTTAAGCAAAATCTGTTTACACTCTTTGCTTACCTGAAAACTCTCACCTCATCAGCAAAAAAAACTTAGACTGAATGGGGGAAAAAAGGTGCCAAGTTTGCAGTAAGTGAAAATGCATTGAAAACACACGACTGACGATGAGGAGACTTTTTTATGGACAGACAAGCCCAAAAACCATAAAGGTTATAAACAAACCGTAGGAAACACGAATACAGTTAGGGGTTTCAGCCAAGCAAATTGATGGTTAGACCGATGCCAAGAGCTTGATAACCTCAAAGAAACCCCAACGAATATATTTTCTGTTGAATTTCCACCGGAAAAGTTCAATCAAAAAAATTGCCAGTGATAACATCTAGTCAAAAACCAAAAGAAAATCACCAAGAAACTGTTAATTAACATAAAGCGTGTAATTTCACATGACAGGCTACGAAATAAAATAATTAACAAAACCACAAATTGCGAAAGAGTCGAGGACCTCAACCTGTTGTCTCTCACCTGAGCTGAGCCTGTGTAATCAACATGGGCAGGAATCGCCAGCCCAATAACTTGTAGTCGTAAAATTAATGAATTTTTTTGAAAGTGAAACTTTTCACAAGTAGATTCAGGTTTTTATTCG